TCCAGATGACATGATTTAAGCTTTCTGTTACAAAAACAAGGCACCAAAAGTGAAAATGAAATGAATCTGCAGCAGCATGGTCCTATTCGCAACGTGGCCCAGTTAGCATCAGCATGGCACTGTTAGCGGCGTGGTCTTGTTAGCAGAGTTAGCAGCTTGATGGTAATGATGACCGCAGCAGCTGCCCTCCAGAACCAGGTCCAGCAGACGGAGAACATCCAAGTTTTCCCTGTGGAACTGAATGGGTCCGTAGAGTTCGGTCCGTGCAAGCAGGATCATGGAGACGGCCACCATCAGGCCGGAAAGCTGAAAGGGCCAAACCACGATGGCAAAACTCCACAAGTGTGTCGCGGTCATCCCCGTAGCGGGGGGGTGCAGCGTAGGAGCAAAAAAAAGTTAAAAGGTGTTTACAATATTGAACCTTTTAACAATATTCTAATTTTTTGAGACACAAATTTATTATTTTTTCATTTTTCGTGAGCCATAGCCATCAAAAATACTAGAAATAAAGGCTTGAAATATTTCACACTGTGTAATGAATTAATGTAAAAAGAGTTTCTGAAGCGACAAACAAAATGAACTTTTTCATGATAGTTACAGTTTTTGCGATGCACCTGTTTGTGCCATCACCTTTGACTGAGTTCATACCACAGGTGGACTTTGTAGCTTGTGAAAAACTCTGTTGTTACAATTCATCAGTCAGTAAAACATTACTTTTCTGCTTAATTGCCCATTTTAAAGCTCAGCCACTCCTGTTTGGTGAAAACCTGCCGCTCACAGTCATGCACCTCCTTCAGACACGCACGCACTGTTTGGGTCTAACAAGCCCACAAAGCTCATTAGGTTGTAGAGAGCTTTGAATGCAGCTCACAGGTCAAACCATAGAAAACAATGGTGTACAGAGGTGAGCAGATTGGATTAGGTGGACTTTGAGCCTGGGTAATCAGCCTGCAGAGAGTATCCCACAGGTATAATGTCGTTGTGTGACCTCAGCACCTTACATAAGACAAGCAACCTGAAGGCCTGTTGCATTCTGCTGATGCCAGGGAACCTGAGACGCCTACAGGGCCTGCGCTGCACAGTGTTTCAGGACTGTTCTTTTCCTATTCGCTGTCTGAGAGAAGCACCCTTTTTGAAAAGTGTTTCTGAACTGAAACTTTTTATGTTACATTTTCAAAGCATTAAGGGGGTTTAGAAACTTTAAAGGACATTTCAGATCTTTTAAAGTGGGGTTCTTTAAAAGAGTTAGAGAGTGAATGATTGTTTGTCTCTGTGTCCCTGTGATAGACTGGAGATGGATGGATGGACATCCATCCATTATCTTTACTCGCTTGTTCCATTTTGGGTCACGGGGGTCGCTGGTGCCCATGTCCAGCAGACACTGTGCGAGGAGAGGGACAGATGGATGGAGGGATGGATTGATGGATGGAGGAATGGACGAAGGATTGGTGAAGGAATGGATGAATGGAGGTATAGACAGATGGATGGATGATGAATGGAGGGAGGGATAGATGGATAAATGAAAGGACGGGTGGAAGGATGGATGGAGGAACAGAGGATGGATGGAGGAATGGAGGGATAGATGGATGGAGGTACAGATGAAGGATGGATGGAAGGGTGGATGGACAGATGGAGGGAGAG